TGACAGGTGGAGGAACCAGCCAGTAGGGGGCCACGGTCCGTCCGGGGGTCATCCTAGCCGATGCTGAACCATGTCTCGCTCTAGCCTTTTCCCCTCTCATCCAGTCGACGAGTGCGCTGATGCCACTAGTTTCCCTGCAAGCTGCATGGGATCAGATATGGCTTCTGGCCAAGGGAGGTGCGTTGCTTGGTTGCGCCCTTTTCGACCGGGAGGATGGATGCTGCTCTCCTCAACCAACGAGGCACGGAATCGAAACGCAAAAAAAAGCAATTCGGGCTGCATGCTTGCTCCATCCCAGCGAGAGTGCATCTGGTGGCCTCCTTCGTCTTCCCCACTGGTGTCTCCGAAGGTGAGTTTGCACCCTCTACACTAAAGCTCTTATCAAGCTCAGAACGAAGGGTGCTTCGGGCCTCGGACGCAATCTCAATAAGCAGCAGTTGATTGACTGCATGATTATTGGGCTAGAGACCCGTCCGGTATTTGAAGGGTTGTTCGGGTTACCCATCTGTCTCCTTTCTGTCTGCAGCTTGCTTCCACAATGCAGGGGCCATACAGAGCCTTGGGACCAAGGGGCAAGCCAAAGGGGGTTTCGATGTTACTCAATTTATGATCCCCACAAAGCCATGCCCACCAAATCTGGGACGCCCGCTCAGTCTGGGTCGACGGCCCCCGAATCTGATCCTGTTCTCTGCCATAGCATGCAGTGTATGGCCCATTATGCCTCTGGAGCACGGGACTCCTAGGTAGTGTAGGTAGTGTAAGACGGGGAGGCGGCTGACGATTTGGCGGTTGGATCCAGAGATTTTGGCAGTTTGCTTTGCCAAGCAAGATCGACTGTCTGCCCGCGCTACGGGTTATGCCCACCGACATCGAATCCGTACCGGCAGTGGTGCACAAAGAAACGGAACAGGGGGTCTTGGGGCAGCAAAAAATGAGCCTTTGCTCCATTCGGGAATTTTTGACGAGAATGGTACCCAATGACCAGCTGTCCGGCTTATTCGTGAGGATGTTTACACACCAGCTCTCTCGAGAATTGACATGATGAGGCAGTCGGGATCGACGACATTGCCAGCCGTCCAAACTCCACGTGTGAATAGATACAGGCCATGCCTAGAAGTATCTAGGGAAGTATGGTTTGTCCGCACCATCCTCAATTCTCGTCTGGTGAGTGCCGAGGTCAAAAGAGGTGCTGGGAATTTGATTGAGGCTTTCTGACACGGTCTATGCAAGGAGGACCCGAAGCCGGGACGACAGCTGCAAGTCCGAGTTGCGAGTGCGACTCGACTATTCAGCTGTTGCAACATGTCGCAGCCATCACCCAAGGTTTGCTGCAGGACAGTCCCCTATCAGCGGGTTTGTCTTCGCTGTGAAACGAAACGGCACACTGTGGTTCTCGTTGCAAGGCTTGCGCCACGGGCGCAAACAAGATCGACTCTGCATGGCGTCAAACAAGGTCGGTTGTGAGCCACCGGCAAGGAGGTGACCGTGAGCCAGGCGGAGCAAACGCCACCCACATCTGCATGGGGCAGCAAATCTTGCCTGCTAGGGACTGGCGAGGCAGGAGTTGGCAGCGCCACAGGACTTAGCAAGCTCCTACTTGTCCCGGCCGACCGTCACCGGCCCGTTGTAAGGCAAAGCAGGATGGCGCCGAGAGACCCTCACGAGAGACTCTCCCCTCTACAGGGTATCTGCATCTGTATCTCCATCTCTTTGAGCATATCTTGGCCCGCTTTGGCGTATATTATGGTTCTTTAGGCTAGGCTTTGGATTGATTCAAGGTCGAAGCCCACCTTGACAAGTGAAAAACGGACGAGACAGGGGGGCCGGAAAGAAAGCTCAGCTCTGGCAGGGTAAACTGGTCGCAGCCGTTCACGAAGTCGGCGCCAATCAAACCGGGCGGGAGGGTTTGGAAGCTTGAATGACATGTAAACTCGAGATACGGGATAGCGCAAGTACCAAGTCACCAGGGCTCCGTTGGAAACAACAGGTGCTGCAAGCTTTCGCACCCGTTCGGTTATGGGCGTTTTTTTCTCCCCGGCTTTTTTTGGTGTTTTCCCCTCGAGTCAAGGGTCGTGCTGTCTCAGAGCGAGAGAGACACAGTGCAGTGCGTGCAAGGCTTTGATCCCGTGTATTACGGGCCGTAATCAGCCAGAACGGTGGTACACGTCTGGTTGCCGTGAGTTTGTTTTGCTTTTGCTTCTTTCAGCAGACATGACACTTCCGAGCTTGGAGGTCAGTGGTGACACAATTCTGCGCAGTGCCGACTGGGTAGAGAACCCGGCTGGCGTCTTGGCCCCTGGCAAAAGCGCCATCCTAACCCACGCTAGTGTAGTGCGTTGCAGCTCTCCCTTGGATCGCGGAAGAGGCGTCGTACCCATTGGCGTTTCTTTGACGAAGCACCTTTGCAGCAAGCCACCAAGATCACCAGCCGGAGCAGTCTGTCTCCTGTTCCAGGGTGACACGGGCCATGGCACATCGAGGCACGTCGAGGCACCAGGGTGCAATTTCCAGATACGATGCATGGCGATAGGCTGGGGGATACCGAGATTTCGATGGCCGAAAAGGGAATGGGCTTCCCAGACGCCCCCAATATTGTCCTGCAAGTTGTCGGGGAATGGAGAGATTCATTCGGCTGCACGCAACAGACAGGGGGCCAGGGTTGTTGAATTCCTGGGAACTTTTGCTGGTCCGTGATGTGATGCCATGCAAGAACAAATGATCCAAAGGGAAACGACTCCAGGAGGTAGAGGGCACCACGGGCCCGGGCGGAGAGATGGCGCACGGCATTTGTGTCGCCTCGACGGGGACACGGAGCCTGGACGCGCTTGAGCCGCAAGGTCGTGACTGCTGTTCAATTACAGGGACGGACTCTAATCTCTGCAGACGCAGTACAAGCACCCGGTGGATGCATCGTACCTGGTATGTTTACCCTGGTATGTGTACCATGTCAGGCGGCAGATGGGCTCAGGGCATTCACCTGTTTTTTCTGGAAGCCATCGCAGGAGCCGCCATTTTTTGGTTTTTTTTTTTCTTGCTCACTGCGCAGATTGAAGAAGCATGGCTCGGGCTCTTTGCTCAAGCCATCCGGCTTGGAGGTGGAGGTGGAGGTGGAAGAACGGTCGATGGCGGGCGATGAACGGTCAGCGACCCGACAGAGCATGGGACGGGAGTGGGCTGGATCAGCCAGTGCACGCGAATGGCGCTGGGTGGGACTTTGGTGGCTCAAGCCTCGTCAAGCCCTTTGGCGCCGTTTGAAGCCATTTGGAAAGCATCTTCCCTAGGAGGCTGATCGATTGATCGATGGCAATGGGGATGGAGAACATGGGGGTAAAAGAGAGGCCCGTTCCTGCTGAGTCCAGCAGACTGGCTCCTGTCTGGGCTCCTTCCCAAAGGCCAAAAAGCAACCTGGATTCTCTTGCCAGAAATATCCCGTCCATTGCGCTTCGTGCCTTCCCGACTCTGAGCAGCGATGCACAATATCTAAGGTGCTAAGGTACTTACTACTGTGGTAGAGAAGGCAGGTACGATGGTCGGTTCAGGGGCCAGCGAGAGGTCGCACCAATTGAAAATCAATTCCAGCCGGCTCCCACCATCTCCAGTCCACTTCCGCCCATTCGCAGCCACCGGCACCCGGCGTTGGCTTGGGCGTTTCTGTACCTGCGTCTATCTACGCATAGTACAAAGCCATTCGCCGACCTCAAGCCTCGACATTTTCAGTTTGCAGATCTCCAGCTCTGGGCACGCCTTTTCCAACAACGAGCTTGCACTAGCCAGATGATCTTTTTTACTGGTCGTCTCAACTGGTCAGGGCTGCGCTGCACTACATGACACTAAAAAAACACCTCGAGCGGCCGGCTGTTGGATCGGATCGAATACGGCAGGGCAGGCGGCTACACTGCACTACCCGGTACAGGATATCCTTGTGTCGATCAGATAGAAGATAACCTTATTTCCATTAGGCTCCGACTTCCAGTGTTCCGGAACGCTGTCTCATCTCTCACCCTCCCGGCTTTTGATGTCTCTGATCGCCGACACACCAGTATCCGGAGGACCGTGCAAAAGCCGGCAACACCCAGCAACCACTCACCCCATTTGGTAATCGAGCCCGTCAGTAGTCGGGCAAATAAACAAGCACTCCTCGGGGTTGACGAACAAGCTCCGCCAGCGAAAACAACCACTGCTCTTTGTCTGTCTGTCCGTCTGAGACAACATGTCCTTCCTGTCCAAACCGAACAATTGTCCAGTGACACGATCCTCCTGTCGCTGAAAAGTTCCCAATTTTCTCGCGCCGCGTCCACGTTCGCATCACAGCGGGGCAGCATAACCTTCCACCGGCCGTGTTCTCTTGACAGATTGGTTATCGGGCGGCGCCGTGCTTTGGCTCAAGAGGGGCCGGTTGCTTTTCACGAACCATGTCTGCGAGATTCTAAGAGACACGGGACCCTTGACCTGCAGTTACGAAGTCGTCATCCTATGGAGACTCGCACGTCTCTCTCGGGCCTGACTGCCTACCACCTAGCCGATTTACTTACCCAGGCACTGACCGGCCACCGACTGCCTGTCTATCTGAGCAGCCCAGTACGCTGCTCATATGGGACCGATTCCATTTTCCCTAAGCGTTCCTTCAGTCATTTGCTTCAGTGATTGCGCAAACTGGAGCTGACCTTCGGACACGAAAGAAGAAACTCTGTCTCAGATGCTCCCGCGACTCCAACCTGAGATCTGCAAGATGTACCACCCCCGAGGAAATGTGATGATGGACCCGCGACTTGCGTAGGAGGACCGAGAATGACGTGAACCAAGGTCCCGCCATGAACAACGGCGCCCCAGCGAATGTCCGGAGAGCGTCCATCGGCCTTCCCCGAAACGTGTGTCACACGGCCGATGGACAGTCGACCGACGAAGGACAGACACAACTAATTACATGTTGTAACAACCCAACTAACGAAAGGGCAAAAAAAGGAAGGAATCAGATTCTAGATATCTGACGCCGGGAATTGAGCCCGACGTGGGGGTCGAACCCACAGCCTTGAGATTAAGAGTCTCACGCTCTACCGATTGAGCTAGCCGGGCTTTCGGATGAAAAGCCGATGATCAATTAGATGCACGCTGGTTGAACTCGGTGGGCGGGTATACTCTACATGTATCCAGTCTGTGTATGAGTCAAACCAAAAAATGTGGATGGAGAGATGTGGAGTTGCCTAGGGTATGAAGACAACGGCCCTGAGTGGTTGGTTGGATGGATTGATTGTTGGAGAAGGGGACTCGAGTAGGGAGCGGAAGGGTGTCATCGAGTTGGAGATGGGTGACGCCGGCCGGACCGTTCGTTGTTTGTCCACTGTGATGCTCTGGGGCTTGATATGAAGTGACGGAATTGGGGAAATGAGAAAAGAGTGTATTTGCAGCAGATGGGTCGGCCATTATCTCATTGTGGGCTAAGATCGGTAGCTTCGAAGAAAAAGAGAATGAATGACGTTGATTGACTATTCGACCATCATTATCCACAATCAATGACTGAATGGCATGCTCGCCGGCTCAAAGTAAGCGAGCGAGCGATCCGGTCCCCAGTCAACAAAAAGAACACGAAGAGCAAAAGGTTGATGATGCCATTCACTAAATAAATCCTGCCCTACAGCTCACCATATCCTCATCATCGACAAGGCAGTCCTGAACAGGAGACTAATAATAGTGACTTGGCAAGTTTGTTGCAAAATAGATCTGCAATTGACTGGCAGCCAATCACTCTTTTATACTCCCACATCGTGACCAAAGTCATGTTTTTTTTTTGGTCGGTGGCCATGATGCTGAATCTTTTTTGTTCGCACCATCCGCCGACTCACTTGTGGATGTATGAAGGAGTGGATTCGTGTGCGTGATAGTAATCCATGAGTATAATCATGTCACGCGCGGTTGTTAACTACGAGGAACTCCCTTTATTATTCGAAAGATGCAGGATCAAGGTCAACAGGCACATTTACATACCCTCTACTCAAAGAAGAGAGAGGAGACAGAGCGCCTAGCATATCTTCTCTCGAACTCTGATGAGTTTGTTATCTTCCTCCATCAATCCTTCCGCAAGTCAAGGACGATCCTCACCACATCCACCACGCGCACACATGTCACGGCGAAACCAGGTGTTGCTTTGTATTTTGTATTATACAATCTCAAACGATAAAATAAACTATCAACCATAGATAAATAAGTCAAAGGCCCTCTTTCTCGCCTCATTTGTTTCGTCTCTCGCCTATCCAGCCCTGATAAGAGTCCAGACTCTGGCACCACTTCCTCGTCAACTCGACTCATCAACGAATCAGTCCCATTCAAAGATTCCATTCCTTGCCATTGTATCATGGACACGAGAGGACCGTTCTACTTTGTCCCCATCCAACCAACCAACCAAACCAAATTCGTTTGCTAAGCGCTCATCTTCATCGCTCACGCCGCCCCCTATCGTATCAAGATCCACTCATCCACGCACGCACACACTTAAAGCTTCGACGCGGGCCTCGGGCTCCCTGCGGAGGTGATCTCATTATACAACAACCTATCACGCATACACGTCAGTTACGTAATTCACCAAACACCCGTCCCCCTTGTCATCGAAAGGAGAGAGAGAGAAAGGCACGCGAGTGGAAGTTGGCAAGCAACAGAAACTTACGTGGTCAAGAAATCCGCGTAATCTTCCCCGGTGACCTGGCCGGCAAAGTACTGCGCAGCCAGCTGGAACTTGTTGCCCTTGGGGGCCTTGTTGCTGAGCTCGGCGGTCTGCTCCTTGAGGAGCTTGAGCGCGTACGCCTTGTCGACGCGCTTACCCTCTGAGGTGGTGACGCCGTGGCGGACCCACTGCCACAGCTGGCTGCGGGAGACTTCGGCGGTTGCTGCGTCCTCCCTGTGTGTTTTAAACATCATCCGTTAGCTAGCTGTCCAGGTACGTAGGGCATATGCTGAGTGCCGGAGAGGTAGAGAAACAAACGTACATAAGATAGTTGATGGGCACGCAGCCGACGCCGCGGATCCAGGCCTCCATGTATCCGAGACCAATGTTCAGGTTCTTGCGAATGCCGGCCTCGGTGATGTCGCCGGGCACGTTCATGTTCAGCAGATCATTCTGGCCGATCTGGACGTCCTCGCGGCGCACAAACAGCTGGTTGGGCGTGGGCATGTGCTTGTTGAAGATGTCGACGGCGATGTGGGCCAGCGCGGGGTGGGCGACCCACGTTCCGTCGTGGCCGGCACGCACCTCGCGCAGCTTGTCGGCGCGCACACCCTCCATGGCCTTGTCGTTGGCCACAGGGTCGTCCTTGATGGGGATCTGAGCGGCCATGCCACCCATGGCGTGCACGCCGCGCTTGTGGCAGGTCTGGATCAGGAGCTTGACGTAGGCGTCCATGAACGGCACCGTCATGGTGATGCATGCGCGGTCGGGCAGCACGAAGCTTGAGTTCTGCTTGAACTTCTTGATGACGCTGAAGATGTAGTCCCAGCGGCCACAGTTGAGGCCTGAGCTGTGATCGCGCAGCTCGTAGATGATCTCGTCCATCTCAAAGGCGGCCAGGATGGTCTCGATGAGGACGGTGCCGCGAATGGTGCCGCGGGCCATGCCGATGTAGTCCTGGGCGAGGTTGAAGACGTCGTTCCACAGACGGGCCTCGAGGTGCGACTCCATCTTGGGGAGGTAGAAGTAAGGACCCGTGCCGCGCTTGACGCTCTCAAAGGCGTTGTGGAAGAAGTACAGGCCAAAGTCGAAGAGCGAGCCGCTGATGGGCTCGCCGTCGACTGTGACGTGCTTCTCCTCCAGGTGCCAGCCGCGGGGCCGTACGATCAGCGTCGGCAGCGTCTTGTCTGTCCGCAGCTTGTACTCCTTGGCGCCCTGCTTGAAGTCGACCTGGCGCCGCACCGCGTCGTACAGGTTCACCTGCCCATTGACCATGTTCTCCCACGTCGGGGCACTCGAGTCTGGGATCGCGATCAGTCCGCCGCTGTCACTCCTGGCCAATTGCCCCTTAAAAAAGACCCAAAAAAACACTAACCTTCAAAATCCGCCATGTAGGTCCATACGTCTGAGTTGAGCGCATTCACCACCATCTTGCGGTCCGTAGGGCCCGTGATCTCGACACGGCGGTCAACCAGCCCGGGGGCGGGTGGGGCACCCTTCCATGTCGGGTTCTCCCGGATGTGCTTGGTCTCGGGCAGGAAATCGGGCAGCACGCCGCGGTCGAGCTCGGCCTGGCGGACCTTGCGGCGCTCGAGCAGGTTCTTGCGCGTGGTGTTGAAAGACCGGTGCAGCAGGGCCAAGAATCCCAGCGCCTGCGGCGTCAGGATCTTCTTCTGGGACTCGTGCACCGGGCCCAGCACGCTCACGCCCTGGAGGATCGCGTCGATGGATGCCATTTTTATTATTATTTCAAATCAGTCAGTCCGTCCGGGGAATGATGATGAGACGACGTTTCGTTTTCGATCAGATTGACCGGCAGCAGCAACAATAATAACACGCGGTGAAGGCAGATGGCCTGACGTAGCTGGCGGAACGGAGGACAAAGAGAGGTGGAGGAGGAGGAGTCCGGGGCTTGTGAGGCGGTACGGGATATGACGGTATGCCTGTGGTGGGTGAGGTATGGAGAAGAAAAAGGAATGGAGAGGTGGGAAACGGGGGAATAAGGGAGACAAAAGGCTTAAAGCTAAAATATGTAGCTATGTACCTATTATCTACCTGGTATCTATGTAATGGTCAATCCGACCTCTCGTGCTCCGTCTCCAGCCACTAACCGCTACTATAGCGGGTTGCTTGACTAATGTCGTAGGGGGGAGGGAGACAAGACCACGAGAAGAGTCACCGCATGCGGCAAACAACGATAGCCACACCGCAGCGAGCGAAGTGCAAGCATGACGAAAACCGACCAGGGGGGCATGGTTGCCCCTTCCCTTGCCCATGTCCATGTCCATGCTCTTGCCCTCCCGCCCCGCGGTTGTGAGGTTGTGTCTGGAGGAGGAAGCCGCGCCCTCGGCATTAAGCTTGGATCGGGGACGCGCTCGCTCGCTCATGACAATTGGCCAGGGCAGGACAGGACAGGATTCCCCAGGAAAACTCCCCGCAGAACCGCACCGCTCATGCGGCGTGTGTGTGTGTGTGTGTCTGTCTGCAGAAAACATGTGGCTCCGAACCGCCATCTCCATCCAGTTAACAGCTCCATCCATCAGGACATGCACCACAATACAAGGCCAGAAAGCATTCCATCTTTCCTTCTTTACCGACTTTGCCGTCTGTCCATTGCTGCAGACTACAGTTACACATACTCGGAGAGATGGAAGGGAGGCAATTGGCATGCCATGTCTGCGACGGTCCAGAACTTCAACCAGTCACATGTGACATGTACCCAAGGTTACAAGGAAGGCGGAAGCCGGTAATAAGCCAAACACATCCCCCTCTCCCCCGACCTGACCTTGGACGTTTTTAGTGCGCTGGCCCGGTCAGGTGTGAGGTCATTGGGGATCAACCCCGCCATCATCCATGTAAAAGGTACATGTCATGGACATGGCCCCGATTTCCTCCCTTCCTCCCTCTCCCCGATTTTGATTGATTCAATTGCTCTTACCGTGTATTCAATCGGGAATAACAAAAAAATGGATGCAAAGCCAAAGATGCTCGATCTCTTTCGCTTCCTTTTGCCCTTCCGTCCTTCAGATCGGGCTCCCTCCTATATCGGCCTCGCCTTGCCAACCACAAGTTGCAGCTGATAAGATCGATCAACCAACCAACCAAGCGACGATGCGTATCCGGATGACGGATGATAGGCACCTATGTAGTGTATAAGTGTACTAGAAATACTTGACACCTCAATGGCCAACGTCCATGCCTGCGCACCACGAGCTTCACCTCCAATACGGGCAGCGGGAGCTCAAACCCACAAGCACAGGCAAGGGAGCTTGGGCCCGCCCCGCCCCATGGGAGGAGCTCCGATCTACCGGCGACCGGACCAAAGCCGAGGTTCTTCCTCGGTAGAGCAAAGGCCCGCCCGCTGCGTGTGGGGAAGAACGAACAAGTGAAGAACCTCCTTGTTCCCTGCAACGCAACC